CCCACGAGCACGACGTGCTGCTGCTGCTGCTGCTGCTGCTGGCGGGGGGCAGGGAGGGAGGCTCTTCGCGGGACACGGGGGAAGCGAAGGGGGCACCCAGGATGTCCTGCAGCGTCAGGGGCTGCTGCGCAGCAGCAGCAGCAGCAGCAGGCGCCTCCTGCTGCAGCACTGCCTGCGCTGCTGCTGCTGCTGCTGCCAGCAGGCACTGCAGCGCCAGCTGCAGCAGCAGCAGCCGCAGCAACGCCCTGCGGCCGCGCCGCCGCAAGGGCGAGCGAGCCCTCATGTTTTCCGCTCTCCTCGCCTTGTCAGCTGCTGCCCGTGCTGCTGCTGCTGCCGTTGCTGCTGCTGCTGTCGCTGCTGCTGCTGCTGCTGCGGCCGCTGCTCTTGAGGTCCGACAGCTGCAGCAGCAGCGCCTGCTGCTGCTGCCTCAGCAAGAGGGCCTCAAGAGAGCCATTAGACCGTCCAATCCAGCCAGTTGGCTTCAAAGAGCCCGTGTCCTACTTCGGCGCAGCAGCAGCAGCAGCAGCAGCAGCAGCAGCAGCGGAGGCGGCAAGTAGGGGGCTGTGCTGCTGGGGGCTTCAGGGGCTTCCCTCGCCCTCAGCTGCTGCTGCTGCTCCTACTGCTGCAAGTTCTACGTACATGCTGTTGCAGTTGCTGCTAGAGACCAGCAGCAGCAGCAACAACAGGAGCAGCAGCAGCGGGAGCGGCAGCAGCAGCAGCAGCAGGAACGGCTGGCGGGGCAGTCGGCAGCGTCTCAAGATCTTCTAAATTTCTAAAAACAGAAAATTGCAGCTTTTAGTTGAAAGAGAAGCAAAACAAACCCAGAACATCAAGAGCTAGGAGCAGCAGCAGCAGCAGCAGCTGCTGCTGCTGCTGCTGCTGCAGCGGCCGGAAGACAGGTGACCTGCCCGCAGATAGAGAAGCTGCAGCAGCTGCTGCAGCAGCTTCTTCTGCAGCAGCAACAAGAGCTGCAGCATCAAAATCCTGAGCTAAATATTTGTGGTCATGTGTGTAGGCGACCTCTGCATGCGCCCAGCAGCAGCAGCAGCAGCAGCAGCTGCTGCTGCTGCTGCTGCTGCCCTTGACGGCCTGCGGAGAAGGCAAGGCTGAAGGCCTCGCTGCAGCTGCTGCAGAGCAGCAGCAGCAGCAGCAGCAGCAACGGCAGCAGCTACGCAGCGACAGCAAGCGTTGCACCAACTGCGGACGAGCCAGATGGAGAGCAGCGCCGGGCTGCTGCTGCTGCTGCTGCTGCTGCTAGTGCTGCTGCTGCTGCTGCTGCTGCTGCTGCTGCTGGCTGCAGACTAGCTGCACTGCAGAACTGGGAGTGGAATGGCACCGGGGCCGCCTGCAGCTAGCCACGGCTAGCTGCAGCTAGCTAGCTACCCAGCTAGCTAGCTGGGCGCAGCTAGCTAGCTACAGCTAGCTAGCTACAGCTAGCTAGCTGCAGCTAGCTAGCTGCAGCTAGCTTGCCGTAGCTAGCTAGCTGTAGCTAGCTAGCTAGCTAGCTGCGGCGAGCCGGATCGGCTGGCCAGTTAGCAAGGCCAGCTAGCTGCAGCTAGCCATCTTCCTAAGCAGCTAGCTAGCCAGCTAGCCAGCTAGCTGGCTAGCCAGCTAGCTATCTAGTTAGCTGTCTGTCTAGCTAGCTAGCTAGCTAGCTAGCTAGCTAGCTAGCTGGCTAAGTGGAGAGTGGCTAGACTGGCAGCCGCGGCCAGCTGCGGGGCTGCTGATGGCGGTTGCTGCTGCTGCAGCCATCCAGTCGAATAGGGTTTAGGGTTTAGGGTTTAGGGTTTAGGGTTTGAGGTTTTGGAGGTTTGCCCATGAGGGCCCACACAGTTACGGGAGGCGAAACCCTTGAGGTCCCGCCGTCTTTGTTTAGGGTTTAGGGTTTAGGGTTTAGGGTTTCTGGCTTGGGAAAAAGGGCTTAAGCGGCGGGCTTAAAATGCTGCGTCTGACAGTTTAGGGTTTAGGGTTTAGGGTTTGGGGTTTGGGGTTTAGGGTTTAGGGTTTGGGGTCTACGGAGCTGTAAGCACAGCTGTGGCGGCCCTGCATTGCGAGGCTCCCCTAAGGTAGAAATGCATGCAAAGCCTTGCCAAAGAAACCCTAAACCCTAAACCCTAAACCCTAATTCCTAAACCCTAAACCCTCGGTTTTGGCCTGAACAGTACAGACACTCTGCATCGGCGGGACGCAGACAGAGAGAAGCCACGAAGCGCAAACCCTAAACCCTAAAAGCAAAACCCTAAACCCTAAACTGTAAACCCTAAACCCTAGAGTGGAGATGATGGCAGCCGCCAAACCCTAAACCCGCAGCCGCCAGACGGCGCTGCTGCATGCAGGAGGGCCTCCACTCAACGCTGAACCCTAAGCCGAAACCCCTAAACCCTAAACCCTAAACCCTAAACCCTAAATGGTGCCTTCTGAAGTTAAGATATTCTTTTTCTCGCTTTCTTTTTGTTTCAAAGACTGTAAACCCTAAACCCTAGAGCCTAGCTGCTGCAGCGGCTGCTGCGCGTCGAGTCCGAAACGCAATGCGGCCCGAAACCCTAGAGCGTAAACCCTAAACCCTAAACCCTAAAACCTCGGCTTTTAGTTTCTCTGCGGACTTGGCAGCCTCTCGAGGGCCCCAGCGCGGCGCTCAGGGCCCCCGTCCGGGGGACTGGGGGGTTTAGGGTTTAGGGTTTAGGGTTTAGGGTTTAGGGTTTGCGGGGGGCCCCCTGGGGCCCCCGCTTCGTGCCATTTTTCCGTCGCTGCGTGCCGCTGCGGGCGGCGAGTCCCCAGCCGCCAAACCCTAAACCCTAAACCCTCGTCGCAACCCCCAAACCCTAAACCCTCGTCTCCAAACCCTAAACCCTAAACCCTCGCCGCAGCAACAATGTACATTCCCATAAAGCACACCA